GCGCCCCGGGCGGGGCTGCTGCGGGCTCCGCCCTCCCGCGCCGCCTCGCCCCGGCCYTCCGTTCCCGCGGGGGTTCCGTGTGTCCCGCCCGGCCCCTCATCCCTCGGCCGGTGCCGGCGCTGCCCTTTCCCCACGTCGGGGCCCGGCCCGGGGCTGCCGTGATCCCCGGGGCTCCGGGCTCGGGTGGCTCCTGCTGGCCCGGGCGGCCCTGCCCGCGCTGCCAGAGCCGTTCCCGGGTCCGTAAAGCCCAGCCCAGCGGTTATCCCGCCCCGCCCTGCTATCTGCCCGGTTTGGGCTGGGACCAGCTGGTCCCAGCCGCTCTCCAGCGGGAGCAGGGCCGCCCGGCTGGGACGGGCACGAGGCAGCGCCAACGGCAGCTCTGCTTTCCCCTAGTCCTGGTGCTCCTCCAGCAGCCGCGGCGTTTCCACGGGCTCTGCTGTCCCCGAGGAGCTCCTAACTCCCCCRTCCCCTCCCTAGCTCGGCTCTTCAAAGCATCCACACCCGCCCTTCCTTCTTTTCCGTTGCTTTTCCTGCCCACGTGCCCAGCAGCTGGGAGAGGCGTGTGGCCTTCATGYCGAGCCGTGGAGGAGGCGCCATCCATCTGCTCTGCACGCAGGGATGCATCCGCAGGCTGAAACATGAGGATTTCAGAGCGTGAAGGTTCCCCGTGCATCACGAATGGAGGGCCGGAGGACTGAGGCTCCCGTACCGCCTCCTACGCTGCTCTCTCGGGCTTTAGGCTCGTGCCCTCCAGCCGCCGCACGTCCCCAGGCTGCGAGTGCCTGGAGCGCCTGGAGACTTCGCTGAACAATTGTGGTGTTTGGGTTCCCCGTGTGCTCTGAGCTCTAAGATGCCAAATGCAGAGGCTCTTGTTGCGGTTACGCTCCCCAGGGCAGCTCAAAATCTAAAGGCCAGGAGATACCGAGGAAGCTTTCACAGTTCGTCGAGGGAGTAACAAAATGTACACCCATGACAAAACGTACATTCACGGCAAAATGTGTATTCATAACAAAAGGTATATTTGTAACAAAAGGCACATTCCTCCTCCGGAGCACTTGCTTGGTTCTGGCTGGAGGTCTGCTCAGCCCGGCCAGCCTGGGCCAGCACGGGGCGGCGGGCCGGCACCGC